TTGTAATTCCAAAAGCAACACGTCCACCACCACCTTTATCATTTCCAATAAATCGTTCACCAAGTGTAGTAGTTGTTACTCCTACACCGAAAAAAATTGAACAACAAATTCCTATTGTTTATAGAAGTTATAATGGAATAGAAACAAATCATTATCATTCACATGATATTACATCAAATCCAGTACGTCATAGAAAAAAAATTATTGTACAAAAATCAAACAAACAAAATGGAAATATTTATAGTGATCATCCATTAATTTCAACACGAAGAAATACAATTCATACTAATGAAATTGATTTTGCTATGGTAAATAATTTCAATGATTTATTCAGATTTTGCCATATATATACTATTTAGATTCGAGCAATGAAAAGATTTGAAATTGAACGTGATCTTCTCCTTCAAACATGTGACACACTTGATCGTGTTAAAGTATTTTTAGCTGATCGTCTTATTGAAATGAAGGATAAACAACGTTCTTATTGTCTTCATTTATCAACAGCAGAAGTTCGTATTATAAAATAAAATAATTTTATTATATATTTATTTCTTCTAGACAACTGGTATTGCACCAGAACCAATTTATAATCGAGATTTAGTTGCTGATTTACTTAAATTAGCAAATACAGTTATTGCTGAAGCTCAGTATGATTCTAAGGTAATAATTTTAATTACAATTTTATTTATTTATAATATATTTCTTTAGAAATCATCTGATCGTTCATCAAGTTCATTATCATCTTCATCATTCAATGGAACAAATAATCAATATCATCAACAATTAAAAACAAAAAATGATCGTATTAAACAATTAGAAACAGAAAAACGTGTTTTATTAAAAGAATTAGTTGAGATGAGACATCAACATAGAACAGTTATTCCAGCAAAAAATTGCTAAAAAAAAAACTTCTTTTCTTGTTTGTTTTTTTTCTTCTCAATGTATATTAATGATAAGGTGATTAAATTCACTTTTATGTTTTTTATTTTTTTTTGCTAATGTTGTGACAATCTTTATTTAACTGAAGAAAAAAATATTAATTACGTGTGAAAAATAAAAATCTTTTTTTGATTTGTTTGACGACATTTTTATTAAGAAAATAATAAAATATAAAAATATAAGTATTAAATATGATTTTCATTTGTTATCCATTGTCGTACTGAATTTGGTAACATCGTCCATGATCCAGGACGTACTTTTTCAGTTATACGAAAACAAGTTTTATCCATTGATTTACCTTCAAGCATATGTCGTTCATGTTGCCAACTGAATAGAGCTCCATCCGTTGTTTCCATAAATGGATTAAGTTCAATTACCCAAACTTTCATTGAATTAATATTTTCATCATCTAACTTATCACTTTTTGTTAATGCAAAATCAATTACATAATCATTTGATGGATATGTATTTAATTTAGGTTTAACAATTTCATGAAAAAAAGAAGTAATTTTCTCAAGAATATTATCTTTCGATTGATTTAATCGTTGAGAATAAATTAAATAATTATATTGCGATAAACAAGTTAAATTTTGTTGAAAAACAAAACCACGAAATTCCATATCAACATCAATTGGTATAAATGGACGAAGAACTATATTTTCTTTAAATAAATCATCAGAAGGATTTTGTGCTTCTGTAGCTAATAACATATCTTGATAGATCCGTTCACTAATAACAAACATTGAAAGGATATCTGCAGCACATGTTAC